TAAGGTTGTATGCCATCCTTGATGACCAAAGCAATAGATCTCTTGCAAACTCAGCCTTCTTTGATATCTTCAGTATTAAAGGACACTGCTCTTCATATTCACTTAAAACTTGCGCTGGTGTGAGTGAAGAAAAAGGCAGAAGAGCTACTGGTTTCCAAGTCGAATCCATAAATAGTGAAGCATCCCTGCAATTACCTACCTTGATTGAATGCAATCAGATCCCAAACAATAGAGAAGAGATTCCTACACCTGAGGCAGCATTACATCATGAACATTTAAAGACCATAGCGCATCTCATACCTGCACTCGACCCAAAGGCCCAAATAGTACTTCTCCTTGGGAGAGATATCATAAGAGTCCACAAGGTAAGAAAACAAATAAATGGTCCTCATAGTTCTCCATATGCTCAGAAGCTTGACCTGGGGTGGGTCATCATAGGTGATGTTTGCCTAGGAAATGTTCACAAGCCAACCACAGTGAATTCTCTTTACACAAATACCTTGGAGAATGGACGTCCATCCCTCTTTTCAGCCTTGTCCTAACAGATTCCTTCTAAGAGAAGCCGGCAAGTGTGCTATATCCTGACTTTACAGAAACCGAGAACCACTCTTGCAGTGAAGACCAAGATCACTTGGGGTGCACGGTGTTCCAGAGGACAAAGGAAGACCACAAGATAGCTCCCTCTATTGAAGATGAGGCCTTCTTGGGCATAATGGAACAAGGATTCTTCAAGGATAAAACAAACACCTGGGTTGCACCACTACCTTTCAAAACACAGAGACGTCATCTTCCTAACAACAGGTATCAAGCCTTAAAACGCTTCTGTTCACTTAGACGCAACTTTCAGAAAAGACCAGAGATGATGGAACATTTCTTCTTATTCATGAAAAAGTTGTTTGAGAACAATCATGCAGAAGTAGCTCCACCCCTAAAAGAAAAAGAAGAATGCTGGTATCTACCAATCTTCGGCGTTTACCACCCTAAGAAGCCAGGACGAATCCGAGTGGTATTTGACTCCAGTTCACAGTATGAGGGAGTCTCTCTCAATGATGTACTTTTGACAGGACCAGACCTCAATAACACACTTCTCGGTGTCCTCATCAGATTCCGTAAAGAACCCATCGCTATAGTTGCCGACATACAACAAATGTTCTATTGTTTCCTAGTAAAAGAAGAGCACAGGAACTTCTTGAGATTTCTTTGGTTCAAGGACAATGACCCTACTCAAGACATCATAGAATATCGCATGAAGGTGCATGTTTTTGGCAACAGCCCATCTCCAGCTGTCGCTATTTATGGACTCAGACTCTCTGCTCAAGAAGGTGAAAAAGACTATGGGAAAGACGTTAAGAAGTTTGTTGAAAGAGACTTCTATGTAGATGATGGCTTAAAGTCGCTTCCCTCACCAGAGGCTGCAATCAGTCTACTCAAAAGGACCCAGAGTATGCTTTCCTGTTCAAACCTCAGACTTCATAAGATAGCTTCAAACAGCAAAGTTGTTATGGAAGCCTTCTCTACTCAAGATCATGCCAGTGATTTGAAAGATCTAGACTTAGCGACAGACCCGATACCCATGCAGCGCAGCCTAGGGCTCAGCTGGGACCTCAAATCTGACACCTTTACCTTTCAGGTCGACCAAGAGCAAAAGCCTTTCACACGACGTGGAGTGTTATCTACCATTAACAGTCTATATGATCCACTTGGATTTGCAGCTCCTGTGATCATCCAAGGTAAGACTCTGCTCAGAGAGTTAACCACAGATACGTGTGATTGGGATTCGCCACTTCCCTCAGAGAAAGAAGCACTATGGATAGCATGGAGAAACTCTCTACAGGCATTATCTAACTTACATATCTATAGGCCATATGCCCACTTCTCCCCTGCAGAAGTTCAGTCTAGGCAGCTGTGCATATTTTGTGATGCTTCGGTAAAAGCAAGTCGCTTACCTTAAAACTATAAACATTAAAGGTCAAGTCCAAATTGGCTTTGTAATGGGCAAGGCAAAACTGGCACCAAGCCCTGAGATTACCATACCAAGACTGGAACTTTGTGCCGCTGTTCTGGCAGTAGAGCTGGCAGATCTCATTGTGTCAGAAATAGATATAAAACTTGTCAGTACAATGTTTCATACAGACAGCAAAGTAGTATTGGGCTACATTTACAATGAGACTAGGAGATTCTATGTCTATGTTCATAACAGAGTTCAAAGAATTAGGAGGTCAACACAGCCTACCCAGTGGTGCTATGTACCAACTGACCTCAACCCAGCAGACCATGCTACAAGAGCTGTTCCAGCAGCTCACCTTAAAGATACTACGTGGTTCACAGGGCCACCATTCCTCTACAAAACCTGTACTTGACACCCTGGAGAAATACTCATTTCAGCTATTAGAACCAAATGCTGATGCAGAGATTCGTCCTCATATTTCTGTACTCACCACAAGAGTTTCTCACAAAGAGCTTGGATCCAAACGATTCAACAAGTTTTCTACGAGGAAATCACTGAACAGAGCTATAGCCGCTTGATCCACATAGCCAGATCCTTTAGAGCCACACCTACAGGATCAGATCACTGCAAAGGTTGGCATTACTGTCACAAGGCCCATACAGTGGATGAGCTCACACAGGCCAGAGACGTTATCATCCGTTGTATCCAACAAGAGGTTTATACTCAAGAATTTGAACTCATCCAAAATCAAAAGAGTGTTCCTAAAGACAGTTCCCTCAAGAGGCTTGACCCCTTCATAGATGCTAATGGACTGTTGAGAGTTGGGGGACGTATTTCAAATGCAAAGTTCGAGAGTAAAGAATGTAATCCCATAATACTTCCCAGCAATCACATTGCATCTTTACTTGTGAAACACTACCATGAGAAGACTAAACATCAGGGACGTTTGTTCACTGAAGGAGGAGCTTTACGTACAGCTGGATTTTGGGTAGTGGGAGCGAAAAGACTTGTGAGTTGTCTTATTTTCAAATGTGTCACTTGCAAAAAAAACTACGTGGTATGTTTCAGTCACAGAAGATGGCTAACCTCCCTGCGGACCGACTCAGTATAGAACCTCCCTTTACTAATGTTGGTCTTGACGTGTTTGGTCCCTGGTCTGTCACCACACGGCACACTAGAGGAGGCCAGGCAAACAGCAAACGCTGGGCAGTCAATATTTACATGCATGAGTATCAGGGCTGTGCATATAGAAGTTATCGAGTCTTTAGACACATCCAGCTTTATAAATGCTCTCAGACGTTTCATCTCCATCAGAGGGCCCAGTTAAACTAATCCGCTCTGATAGAGGTACCAACTTCGTTGGGGCCTGCAAAGAACTGCATATCCCCTCAAACATTGACAGTGACCATGTAGAGAGATATCTTGCCGCCCAAGACTGTAAATGGACATTCAACCCCCCACATGGCGTCTCACATGGGAGGCTCTTGGGAGCGTATGATTGGCATAGCTCGCCGGATCCTTGATTCTGTCTTTCTACAGCTGGGAACTTCGAGGCTCACCCATGAAACCCTCTCAACCTTCATGGCCGAAGTAGTAGTGGCGATCATGAACGCCAGACCTTTGACTTCAATATTCAGTGATCCAGAAGATCCCTTCTTGCTCACCCCCCTTCCACTCTTCTCACCCAAAAAGTCGGTACAGCATCGGCTCCTCCTGGCGAATTTAGTGCTAAAGACTTGTACAAGTGTCAGTGGAGACGAGTGCAAACTCTAGCAGATACCTTCTGGGATAAATGGAGAAAACAATACATCTCTACTCTACATGTCCGGAATAAATGGCAAACCAGCAAACCCAACATGGAGGTTGGTAATGTTGTTCTTGTCAAAGACTCTCAGTCAAGAAGAAATGACTGGCCTTTGGGGACTGATAACCAAGGTGTTTTTCCAAAAAAAAAAAAAAAAACAAGTGAAGATGGGAAAGTCAGAAAAAGTGGAGGTCAAGGTCTGCAGACAACAGGAGCCCAAACTCTTTCTCAGACCCGTTACTGAACTGGTTTTGTTGCTCTCTCCAGGGGTGATTTAATGTGGTATCCTTTAGATACCAGACGGGGAGTGTCATGCCTTCAGCAATTTGTTCTTTGTTAATTAGGCATTATTAGTAAGCCTTATCAGTTTGTAATTCTTTGTTCATTGTGTAACTGCTCCATCTAGTGGCTGTTTGTATACACTGCATCTTTTCACAGTAGAAGTTTGACTCATTTCAGCTTCCATGGCTTGTAGCCTATGAACTCTGATTACATCATCAGCCCTGCTCATAGCAGCCATTTCCTCATCACAGACTCCATTCCTGTGGTAACCACGCTGCTGGTAGGATCCAACCCTCACATTCAGGTTCACAATAGCATCGTTGGTACGTCTACACACATGTCTATATCTTATGCATCTGTGTTTTATGTAACCTACATGTCTTACATGTGTTTATATGTGCATTGCCTTACTGTAATGTATAATATGCTTTGTCACATGGCAGACAGTGTTACAAAGCGCCTTATTTTCTGTTCCTCAGTTTCACCTCTTATATCTTTGCAATAAAGACAAAGTTGGACGTTGCTTCTTTGTCAACTCATTGCCGAGAAAGGTTTAGCTGTCTGTCAAGCTATGTACCTTCACACATAAGGAGGACAGAACAAGAAGGTTTGACCATTCTTCCAGAAATGCATATGTGAGGTCAGGCACTGATGTCAGATGAGAAGGCCTGGCTGCTGTAATTCATTCCAAAGGTGTTCTGTCAGGTTGAAGCCAGGACTGTGCAGGCCAGTCAAGTTCCTCCACCCCAGACTCGCTCATCCATGTCTTGTCTTCCATGTCTGGACCTTGCTTTAGCACTGGTGCACAGTCATTTTGGAACAGGAAGAGCCATGCCCAAACTGTTCCCACAAAGTTGGGAGCATGAAAATTGTCCAAAATGTCTTGGTATGCTGATGCCTTAAGAGTTCCCTGCACTGGAACTAAGGGGCCAAGACAACCCCACACTATAATCCCCCCTGCACCAAATTTGACACTTGGCACAGTGCAGTCAGGCAAGTACTGGTCTCTTGGCAACCGCCAAACCCAGACACAGCCATCAGATTGCCAAAGAAGCATGCTTCATCACTCCAGAGAACACGTCTCCACTGCTCCACTGAGTCCAGTGGCGGCATGCTTTACACCACTGGGTGATTGCACTTGGTGATGTAAGGCTTGGATGCAGCTGCTCGGGCCATGGAAACCCATTCCATGAAGCTCTCTACACACTGTTGTTGTGCTAATCTGAAGGCCACACAAAGTTTGGAGGTTTTTAGCCATTGACGCTGCAGATAGTTGGTGACTTCTGTGCAGTGTGCGCTTCAGCATGTACTGACCCCGCTCTGTCATTTTACATGGCCTACCACTTTGTGGCTGAGCTACTGTTGTTCCCAGTTGCTTCCACTTTGTTATCATACCACTAGCTGTTGACTGTGGAATATTTAGTAGCAAGGAAATTTCACAGATGGATTTATTGCACATGTGGCAACCTATGGTGGTACCACGCTTGAATTCACTGAGCTCCTGAGAGCAACCCATTCTTTCACAAATGTTAGTAGAAGCAGTCTTCATGCCTAGGTGCTTGATTTTATACACCTGTGGCCATGAAGGTGATTTGAACACCTTAATCCAATGATTTGGAGGAGTGTCCCAATACTTTTGGCAATACAGTGTATATGAGATGCAAGGATTCTTGCAGTCTCACCCTACGAAAACATTCATGTTTGGATTACTGTAAAGAATAACTAAGCCTTTTAGGTATGGTTCATACCTATGCAGTTTGCTTTTGATCCATTTCTGCAGTGTTTTTTACGGTGTGTTTTGTGATCTTGCACGTGCTTTTTTTCACATTTTTTGATGTATTTTTCGTTTTTATGCTTTTTTTTGGGAGGGCTAATTTGTTTGTGGACCAAAAAAGTGCAATATGCGTCAAAACTCATCAAAAACATGTACAAAATCTCACTACATGCTTTTCTGCTTATTAAAGTCTATTGAACCAAAAACACACTTTTTTACATTTAAAAAAGTCCCTGACCCTTTCCAAAAAGACAGAGGTTGAAAAAAGGATAGATGTGAACATGTCCCATAGGAAGCCATTTTAAATGGACTGTCGTGTGTTTCTGTAAAAAGCATCAATAAACGCATAGGTGTGAACCAAGCATTAGAGGTACCCTACTGATTTTACATTGAAATACCTGCAGAGGAAAACCTAAAAGTAGGCCCTTCCAATGTTTTATTACTTGGAACCAACTTATTCCTTGAAAAGGTATGAAAATTTTAAAGAACACAAAAAAAATATACTTAAATTTTTTTTTATATTTTACAGCTACAATCCATCAACTTTTTACACTGCCTTGTCCAAATAGTTGCCAAACTAATCCATAAGACTTGAAAGCTTTCCTTCTTATTTCCAATTAGAAAATCTTTGATTCAAAAATCTCTATTTACTTCAATGCTCATTTTCATTTTGTTTCATTTCTAGAGGAACATTCATCTTCCACACAAGCTGATTGGTATGAGTGTAATTCACAAAGCAGCATCTAGACAGTCTATTTGCATAAAGAGCTGATGTACCAATCTCCTTGAGCAGCATCACAAATGATCATTTGAAAATGTAATATCTTCTGTAGAAAATAAGGTGAATGAATACATTTTGAGGAGTAAGTGTCAGCTGATGAATGGTCCCATGACTCATCCAAATAGTAACTGATAAAGTACTCACAATCATGATCAACGTCCTGCTCCAGTGGGCAACTATCTTGCTATCTTATGCACCCCGCCCCCCAAATAGATGTTTACCCTTAGGGGTCCAATTATACATTTTAAATTAGAAAATAGAAATTACTCAGCATTATAGAAAATACTCAGCATCATTTTTCTAACATGTTTATATCTTGATATCACCAGCTCCATGTAGTGGCCACAATGCAGTACTCTCCTGACTGAGGTATTTTAAGAAAATATCATGGCCACTGGATAGAACTTATGGCCATTGCAAATAAATGTATTAGGCAAATTTGTGTCAAGATTCATGACAGCTGGGCGAATGCTTGTGACAATTGTCCAATTTTCTTTTGTTTTTGTTTTTTTTTTTATACATAGACCTCTTAGTATGTAATATATTAGGCAAATGTATTGTATTAGGCAAATTTGTAATGTATTAGGCAAATTTGTGTCAGGATTCATGACAACTGGGCGAATGCTTGTGACAATTGTCCAATTTTCTTTTGTTTTGTTTTTTTATACATAGACCTCTTAGGTGTCCGTTTATGAACCAGCAGTAATAGATCACTGCTCAGTTCTCCGGCATTCTCTGAGAACACAGTTCTCCTGTGAATGCCGTTTATGAAGCATATGTAGATCAGTTCTCCAAACGAAGGGAGAACGGTCTACAAACGCTGGAAAACGGCTGATTTTACTATAATCTCGCGAGATTACAGTAAAAGATCAGTTTACTAAACAGAGGTAAATTATCGCTGCTTAGTTTTCGGTCCCTCTGATTCTCCCTCTGATTCTCCCTCTGATTCTCCAGCACAGAGCTGTGCTGGAGAATCTGGAGGGAGAACACAGATCTCCAGAGAAGGGCTGAACATATTCTCCTGGATGTCATAAACTGTGAATGACCAGAGAATAGCTGTGATCCTCTGAATCTCAGCTATTCTGTGTGTCATAAACGGACACCTATGTATCACAGTTCGTTAACCACAGCCACACACATGGGTGTGGAAAAACTGAAAGAGAAAAGCTGACTATTCTGTTCTTGGGGAAGGGGAAAACCATCCAGGACCACCTACTTTACACTGCTTCTCCAATTATCTCACACCATAGATGTTGTAGGAAAGAAAGAAACCTCTATAGTGGAAAAACATTTATTTAAAATGCCTTAATTAAAATCACATCCACAGATATCACATGGTAAGGTGCATAAAGCTCCACTATCAGCAGTGCAAGCTCGGCTCATTATTAAAGACCTAATTTCTGGGTGTACCTCGTTGCTTCCGGGAGTACTGTGCGGGGGATGACGTCACTGCCCATAGCACCGCTCCAACGTGTTTCATTGTTCTGACATCCTCAGGAAGCAACGAGAGGATAAGAAAAAATTGGTAGGCAGATAAAGTCTGGGGTCCGTCCAGCTTGACTTCTTAACAGGAAAAGTTGAGATGTGCATATGACATCAGCTGCCTATATCGCTGGATGCAGTTTTCACTGAATATAACCACTGTTTATGCATTTTTTAATCCTATGTTATGTTTGGATTATAATAACAGCCATAACAGCTCCTTAATCTAAAACATTTTCATGTTGTTTTTTTTTTTTAATTAGAGCAGGGCTCCAAATACAATTAAAGGAAAAATAATAAAATATGCAATATTGTATCTGGCTACAAGCAATAAAAATCTCATTACGCTGTACAAATTCCAGAAGAAATTCTAAGGTGACAGGGGAATCATTGTCATTCTCCAGAAGTAGATCCCAGGAATATATTTATTGCAGTTGTTACGAGCGATCGTCTGCCACAAGACCTGAGTGCTACGTTTCATTTCATTATTTTTTTCTCCCTTCTTCCTGAAGTTACGTTGGAGCAGCCGGAGAACAGTTAATATATTTTTTTTATTGTCTCCGCTGAAGCATTCATATCTAAGGGTCAGCAATGTGATAGGAAAGTAATAGGACCATGTAGAGAAAAAAATGAGGTAGTCAAAAGGAAAATCAACCTCATTTATAATAATATTCCAGTGATCAGGAGGTGAGTAACGGCACTAGCTGCGGTCATTAGCCGCAATCATTCCACACGTAACATCTACATTTGGAAAAAGGTTGTGAGCGTGGAATGGCAGTGCCAGTTCATTGCTCAGATCTTTGTATTTAAATTCCACTGTCTGCAGGAACCCAGTACTTGGCTTGCCTTCCTTACTTGCACTTAATATGTATACTAAAGAGGAATTTCACTAAGCACTGCTTTTGTTTAAAAATCAAATTTTTAGAATATTCAATCCTTTCTGTGGGAAAAAAAACATTTTATAAAGGGCCGCTCCATCTACATGTGATGCCTATATGCCATATAGAAAAGCAAAAGCAAAAAGCAGAGAAACATTAAATGAAGGACAGGACAGAGTGAGTAGAAAGATGTGCCGAGGACCTGCCTGAATCAACACAAGATCACTAAATCACAAGATGAAAACTCAAATTTTACCCAATTCCTGCTGAATTGCCCAATATTTGAGCTGTGAGTTGCCCTGTTAGCACCATCCTACTTGACAAAAGTTGATTTTTCAGTCAACTTTTGTAGTAGGAGCTGGGTGGGAAATTGCTGGTTGAAATTTGACTGAATCCAATCATATGCAGTCTCTGCTCAGTTAATCTGCAAGTGACAGGTGCCAGTTGTCAGAATACAAATTCCACCATCCACAATGCATTAGTGGCTGCTATAGTTTTCTTTTTTACCTCTTCTTGCTGACACTGAAGTGAGTCTTTATCCTGGGGGCCACATATCTGCGTATCTTGGCTCCCAGCACAGAAACCAGGCTCTCACCAGGAGCCCCAGGTATCAAAACTAATGATCAGGACCCAAGAAAAATATAAAGAAAAAAATAGCTAGATGAAGGTTTGATTTAGGTCAGTGCCAGGGTTAGTGTCAGGGTCAAGGTAAGGGGTCAAAATGTCAAAGTTGGGGTCAAACGTCAGGGTCATATTTTAGGTAAGAGTTTTTAAAAAACATTTTTTAAATTAGTATCAGTGTCAGTGTGTTTTAGGTAGGATAAAAAATTATTATTTCTGGCCTTACTACAGGTACATACTGTACAACAAACAACATACACATATGTGGTGTCGTTGTGATTGTCAGGAGCAGAATTTATTTTGGGTTGCTCTTTGGTGGTAATTTATGGTAGCAGCAAGAAATATACCGCTACATTTTTTTAAAAAAGCTTTTTTTTACTATTTTGGGCCAGTTTCCCTTGATAATAAAAAAAAACAAAGGAAAGCCCAGTTTTGCCTGAAAAAAAAAGTATAATTTACCTGGATACACAAAGTAGTTGTGACGATGTATACAGTATTACTAATGCATGTCGAAGTTGCAAAATTGTGCTAAAGCATTAACATTTGATTTACCCCTCAGTCACTAAGGGGTTAAGCTCCTTTTTCCTTTATTTTCACCTGTTGATCCTGCCAGTAAATCTGTTATTTTCCTACTTCCCTTAGCTGCCCAGCAAAAGTGGCAGTAAAGGGTTGAGACAAACTATTTACCACTGACAGGGGTGCTTACAATGGTCGGCTTTTCAGCTTTTACTCACTGATGTAAAATATAAAGGGAAAAAGCCTCAAGACAAAATTAAAGCAGCAACCATATGTATGGATTGATAAACTGCAATATATATTAAATTTGTTTTAAAGTGGTACTAAACCTGATAATTAAATAAAAACTTTTCCCCTGCAAGGCAATGTTTTATAATGTGCTTGTTTGCATCGAATGCTAGCACATTATGTGAAACTTACCTTAACCCTTTTACGCTGACATCACACAAATATGCAGCCTCACAGAACTGGGCTTTTTTTCTGTGGGGTCTGCATATTTGCGTACCTGTCTA